ATATATATATATATATATATATATATATATATATATATATATATATACATATATCAATAATACTGTACCAAACAGAACAGGATTAAGTATTTACTTGGTCTGGAGCTCAGTAATCCTAAGGGTCTTTAGTCCTTATAACATTTATTACCGATAGTTTATTTTTATCACTTCGAAAAAATAATTTAACAAAAAAAGTACCTAATTGATTTTACATAATAATATCTTTCGAAATCTTTAATATGTTATATATCTGTGAGAAAAAATAGTAAATTTCAATTATATATACTTTAAAAACTAACTTTTAATATTATAATATTATAATATTGTTACACTGCATATTATACAATATTATTATTTAAATTTTAAATTAAAAATAAAAATACAATATTTTAAAACACTAATGTTCTGTAGATTTTCTTTTCTTTTTTCAAAACTCTACAATAATTTCATCTGTAATTATTTCTTTAAACAGCGATCTTTCTATGTTCAATAAAGCTAAAACGTTTGAGAAAGAATTTTTCATGGTCTACATCAATTTATTCTTTACTCTTTTAAAATTCGAAAATGCTCTTTCTGTGCAGCAGTTAGAAACTGGAAGATACAAACACAATAATAATGTTGTAACTTCTTTAATTCAAATCAATTCATCTGGAGTTAGATGGGCGTAGAGTAGGGTAGACGGCTCTTTTTAAATTGCCGAATTGGCGGCTCATTTTACCTAAGTGCCGATTAACGTGAGAGGAAGGGGATGTCAAGCGAGTCCAAAAAAATTAATGTATTTTTTGTACTTTGTACATAAGTACCTGTATAGTACACGTCTCATTTTCCCGATTTACAATATGATTTTATAAAAGATGTATTCGTATTTTGATAATGGGCTGATTTTGGAATAGCTAAACTTTAGATTACAGTAAATGTATAAGTTCTCCACCCCAAATAATACCACTGGTTAACGAACATTTTTTTTCAGAAGGTATTTATTATAATTTTTAGAAACAATATCAGAAAAAGGTTAATGTCATTTTTTTTTTTGTATCATAAAAATTGTTTCATATTGAACCAACATACTAACAAAAAAAAAGTTTAAAAACTTTAACCACGATTGATAAATCTATGATTAATCGTTCTAAAATACACTTAATAAATTGATAACAAATTTGAAAAGAATCATACCTAAAGTCAAAGAGAAAATATTATTACAAAATAGTGGCTCCATTCTTATATCCATTCATAACATTTCATAAAGAAGATAATTCGATTTATCCATTTATTAACTTTAAAACTGCTCCATCATATATATATATATATATAACCTTGTTAAATGTATAGTCTCTCATAAAAAAAAGCATACACAAATACTGATATTTCTATATAACACATATGATTTCATGAAAAATATGTATATGCATCCATTCATAAACATGGAATAGTAAAAAAATTAAAAAATAAAATCATATAGTGCAATAAATAAAATACAAACAAAATACAAGAAACTATTCAATCAAAACTATTTCCAATATAATAATAAATTATATTCGCAAAAAGAAGGCTAAGTTATAGATGGACCTTATATCTTATATCCTTATACCTTTTATCTGAAATTTACATGCAAATTATGAAACTAATAATATTATTAACTACAGTCTATATATAAATTCATATAAGAAATTATGAAACGTTAATTTTATTTAGAGGTACCAATAGACAAACAAAGTGAGATGATGCAAAATTAAAAGTGGTAAAATATTGACTAGTCAGAAATACTAAAGTAACGTCAATGAAATTTGGCGAGTAATTTTATTTTACGATGTAGAAACCTCTTTAAAAAGGATTTGGAAAATGTTACCCCCGTATGAGATAAAAAGTGGTAAAAACGAGAAGTGATAAATATGAAAAAACCACCTAGTCTAGTAAGGAGGTATAATGAAAAAAAAAATAAAATTTTGACTAGGCATATATATAAAAAATTAAAAAGTTAAATATAATTAATGTAACACGAGGTATTCAGTTGAGCACAATATTCTTTATCAGAAATAAAATTAAATAAAAAAAATAAAAACCTATTTTAAAAAGATACAAATACTATTTACACGTTGTTTATCGCTACATCTTAAAAACGACAAAATCTCTCCAATACTCTAAAAGTGTAATAAGAAGGGATTTTATAAATAAGCATCAGCAAAGATGATTCCGTTTTGCAAAATCGGGTAATTCAGCGTATAACCAAAACTACCATATCGATTCATTTGAAATTGCATTTAATTGTATGACCAACAATTTTACCAAACTTTGAATTACAAAGGGTATGGTGATAATTCATTAAAAAACTATGTCTCAGCCAAGACTTTTGCGTGCAAAGCCATGTAATTTATTTGAAAACAATAACAGACGCGAAGCTCAGCATAGTATCTGTACTTCAAATTTTATTTTTCTTCAGTTTTGAGTTTTAATGTGAACATAACATTATGCTCAACACCATCCTACACTCAAAAAAAGTTCACAAACCCTAAGAAACTATTCATCACCCACGTTGAGAACTACTGAGCTAAGTGCTTTTAACTGTACCGTATTTTTTCCTGTACAAATATAGATATAAGTAAAACGTATGTTTAATCGTGTATATTATATAACTAATAGTAGGTGCTTAAGTAGTTTAAGATCTATGTAAATAATACTCATGATTTTTTTTGTTTTACAAATAAACATAATTTATTAAACGAGTGATGACATGAATGGATTATAATTGCTTATTTTGAAAAAATGGACAGTTGACGTCAGAATTGTTAGTTGATTCCACCCATTTATTGAAATCTATGCGGAAGTCATCGTCACAATTCAGTTTGCTGGTTGGGAACAAACTGAAAATCAAATCAAACAAAAAATATATTTTACTGCTCAATGAGTACAATAAATTAAGTGATTAATTATAATTACTTGTGATCTACTGCTTTAAACATAGACGTTTGTACATGATCTATATTTGTAATAGCGCATAAAACGTGACCAAGGGTGATTTTCTTAATCACTTTTAGTTGGTCTAAAAAATGTAAATACAATCATAGTAGTTATTATCAGTCAATTTGTATAAAATATAATTTACCAGGAGTGAAACTACCCGGTTGTCCTTGTACATCGTAAAAAAATCGATCTCCAGCTTTGAACCGATAGAAGCTGTCGGCTATTATACACCGCGTAGTCGGGCCAACCATCGCACCGTCACTTGGTTTTTCTAATAATAATCCTACGAGTAAGTCAATGTCATTCACTGAGTAATAAAGATCTTTTAATTTTCTTATATCCTAAAAAAACCAAATTATTACCTATAATAAAAATCTAACAATATTTTGATGTATTACCATAAATATATTTACCAAATAGAGTTATAATATTGTGGATATTTATAAATAATAATAATTTGAACAGTGATAATATAAATAATTGGCAAGGTCGAATTTTAAGTAAAGTTGGACCGGAAAAGATTTTAATTTTTAGTATAAATATGAAAATTAAAATTTCATTAAAAAATAGCTTTAGTGTATAAAATATTAATAATATTCTTTCTATCTCCAAAGGACAGATTATTAACAGATTATTCATATTTACTCATTTGCGTGACGCGTCATTTGATCCGATAAATAATCCGGCGACAAAATAACCGGATCAAAAATATCCCGTGACAAAGATAACCGGCGATAATTAGTTTTCTGGTTTTCGTGTTGTATAAATACAGCACACTACAACACTTTAACACAACAAAACACAACTTCAACGCATTAACTCCTGTAAGGTTTTATTAAACGTTTTTCGCCATTATTTTTAATAAAATTAAATATGCCACTCGAATTTGTTATAAGTTAAAAAGGCAAAAAACTTTTATTATTAAATGGATATTTACATAACATAAATCAAAAATACGATGAAAAAAATTATGTGACGTTGTACGGAGTACAAGAAATTTTCTTGTAAAGACCAATGTCATACTTCAACAGACAGTGAATCAGGTATTATAATATTATTTTTAATTAAATTCCAATATATAAATGTAACGTACGAAATTATTATCTAAGCGCTGTATATACGATATTGTCGCGTTACTACTACTACTACACACGTACTATATACGGTGCCATCGATATTATTATTATTAATGTTATGCGAGCGCTAATATATAGCGGGAGTAATATATGATTACGTACATATTATTATGTGATTTAGGTAGGTATTTAGATATGTTATTTAGTAATAATAATAACTAAATAAAATGCAAATAATAATTTCAGGGAAGTTAATTAAAGAAACGGACCATTCTCATTCGCCAAATATTGCTCGAATCGAAGTTAAAAAGGTGGTTAATTCTATGAAAGAAACAGCTGAAAATTAACAAAAAAGCACAAGAAATATTATCAGTGAAAATCTCGAAGATGTGTTTGTTCTGGTAATAGGACAATAACCTACAATTAAATGGCTATCTAGAATAATTCAGAGAACACGAGTAATAAAAGAAAATCCACCAATTAATTCTAGCCACGAAAACGGTTTGATCATTCCTGATTTATTCAAATTTACTAAAAAAATGAATTATTTCTAACTTATGATAATACTGAAAATACTGAAAATCGAATTCTAATATTTTTGACTCAATGTAATTTGATTGAACTTCAAAAATCCGATAGTTGGTTTGACGATGGAACCTTTAAATCGGTCCCATCTATTTTTTCACAGTTGTATACTATACATTGTAACGAATACGTATTACCATTTCGGTTTACGTTTTAATGACTTATAGAACAAAATATACATATACAGAAGTATTAAATTAATTTTTGAAATATAAGCCCGATCTTGATCCAAAGTCAATACAAATTGATTTTGAGCAAGTGTTTATTTCAGCAATTAAAGACATTTTTCCTAATGCAAAAATGAATGGATTTTTTTTTTACTTTTATCAGTGTGTTTGGTGTAAAATACAATCATTAGGATTACAAAAAATGTATTCTGAATGCAACATTTGCTCTTCAAGTAAAACAGTTGTGTTTGTACCTACACACGATGTAGTATATGCATTCGAAGAACTTATAGTGTCAGAATACTAAATAGAAAATGAATATCTTTTTCAGTCTCTCCTGAATTACTTCGAGGACACTTGGATTGGACGTCCTGTACGGAGGAAAAGAAGAAGTCCAATATTTCCATTAAATATATGGAATGTGTATGAAAATGTTTTATTGAAACGACCAAGAACAAAAAATGCAGTAGAGGAGTGGCATAATTCATTTAATTCTTCCATAGGAGTCCATCATTTGACAATATGGAAATTTATTAATTTTATTAAAATTGAACAAAATTTAGTGGAAGCTAAAATAGATAAAATTAATTTAGGAGAAAGCCATGCATCAAAAAGAAAAAAATATTAAGAGGCGACTAGAAAATGTTGTATTAAATTACCAAAGAGGTGATATATTAAATGACTTAAAAGGTATTGCTCATAATTTCAATTTTTAATCATTAAATTATATATATTTATCATAAAAAAAAACAACTATTTTATATTTTGGCTGTCAATAATTTTAATTTTATATTATTTATTTATCATAGAAACACAATCATATTTATCCTACAATTATTATGCCTACATTTATACTTAAATTATATATTTTTTGTTGACTGTCAATAATTTTGATTTTATATTATTTATAAAACATCGGATATTTTTAACCCGGTTACTTTGAGTACAGGATATTTTTGCACTGGATCTAATAACGCGGATCATTTGTCGCCGGATATTATTTACCGGATCAAATGTCGTGGAACCACTCATTTGTGGTTATGACACAACGATATGAACAAGATATCATATGTAGGTTGTATGCAATTATAATTAATCATAAAAAATTACAAAAAACTAAAAAAGTATTCAAATATATAGAACTAAATAATTATGTATAAATAAATTGAAATTCTTTATAGTTGCATGCATTTTCACATGTGCACATAAATGTTCTCAAAAATACATGGTGCATGCGGGATACCCATAGGATAAATTTTTTTTCTGGATTTAGAATACCATAACAAATGCATCAACGGATATAAATCGTGTTTTTTTTTTTTTTTTATATAATATTTTTATTTATATTAAGTAGAGATGAGAAAAATTGAGTGATTTTAACAATCGAGAGAATTTAACAGATGAAAGATTCTCTCAAAAAAACCTGGCTCTGAATGATCATCAATTATTGATTGTAGTGCAAATCGTAGATCTAATAATGTTGTTTTTTTTTTTTATATAAGACAGTGAATGGAGATATCAATAAATACGGAACGCGTTTTATGTTTTTATGAAATGTCATTAAAGAATTGATTACTTTTAGATGTATTAGGTCCACTAAGTCTTCAAAATCGTCAGCCAATGGTAGTCCGCACAAATGTCTAACTCGGTTATAAGTTGGCAAACCAACATCACGACCCCTTGCCAAATCCACCGACATTAAATCCAATCCAGGAAATTGGATATCGCTAGTTGTATTTCTCATAAAATTGGATATCTATAAGTTCAAATGTCGTATATAATGATAAAATACTGAAATATATTACATAATATGCTGTTTGATACAAATGAGGTGACAAAATTACGTAGAAATTATATGAAGGTTGGACAGGACGACCAGGCGTTTCCAAAAATCCTTTTATTAATTTATCGAAATTTTCGTTCAGCGGTATTAGATTGGGATTTGCCAAACAGTCCGTCACGTTTACTGAAAATTCAGTTTTGTAATCTTTGTTCATAAAACTGTAATTTAAAACGAAAAATGAATAACTAATTTATATAATTAAATCTGATTATTCAATTAATGCTTACTTGAACTGAACCGGTATGATTGCATGCAAAACACGGAAAGCAGCGGAAGACATTTCCTGAGACGTTGCTGGACTAACTGTTGGGTTGTATATATTTTCATTATTAAGTCCATAAGCTTCTTGGAAATCATCCCCTGTAACATAAAACAATTATAAATTTTACATGTTTAAAATATA